ATCAAATAGAGAAAACAATTGTCATATAATAGATATCGAGCCTCGGATTTTCACCGTCGCTCAAACTCTCTTCTCTTCGGATAATGTACGCAAATTACATTAACGCCGATGACGGCAGAAAACATATTGAATAACTGCTGCTGCTGCTGCTCATTAAAAGACGAAAATAAAAATCAAGTGTGATTGAACCCAAGGTCCTGAAAGGAGCAAGCAAGCTGCATTCATTGATTGACTTGCCTCCCTTGCCATCACAACCGCATTGGTTCCCGCTGTTCAATTGAGAAGTTCGATATCGCATTCACAGGGAGCGCTTTTATCAAGACAGACAGATAGATAGATTGCTATAGTGAGTGAAGAAAAGAGGGGGGCCAAAAGAAAAGAACAGAACAGAACAAACAAGCGCAAGAAGTCGTGGGGGTTGGATCGGTGAATGCAATACATGCATACATACCGGATTGATTATAATCAGGGCCAGGTACGTACGTGCGAATATACAGGACCCGCACTCAGCTTCTCAGTCGATGTCGTTGATATAAATGCCATCAAAAGAGCAACGACCGACACCATATCCATACCATAAACAGGACGAACTCAATATGGATACATGCGTGCAGTATCATCTCGAGCCGTAAAACTCGGCTCCATGGAGTTGGATTGAATTGTGCTTGAACCCTGGATTTTGCTTGTATAACAATGGTTTGAAACCTGCAAGTATGTACTTTCTACTGTCGATGAAATCGTGAGTGTGATGCTACTATGGATAGTTATATACTCCGTATATTTTCTCTCACAATCCTAAGAAATCCGAAAAACGATAGCAGATGTGAAGCTTTCAACAGGAGTCTAGAAAGTAAAGTAAAATAGAATAATCATAGTAAAAAGTGCAGTGTGGGTGATGAATTAGTGAGTGAGCTGGGAGAAAGATACAGAATACCTAGGGAAGCCAAACTCAAGGCTTCTGACGAGCCCCAACCAAGCTCATCAACATCAAACGGTGTGAACTGTAGAAAACATCAACAGCTCTAGATATCCCAGGAACCCACACACACACACATTCATCAACACAAGCACGAAGCGGAGCGAGTACACCCAAAGATCAAAAGATTATCTATCCTAAATGTTTTGTCTTGAGGGATGAGGGTGCAATTGGATTGATTGTCTTTTGTGTGAATAAAATAGACTCCTCGGTTTAACAGTTTTGCATGTTTGACGGCGAGATTACTGGTGATGTCAAGGTACAATGTATTCTGTGATGGTAATATTGGTGATTAAAGTTGATGACGGCTATGAATTTTTGAGACACCAAATACAAAGGTCAGGGGAATAGATCTAGATGGACTATTAGACATGACACTCAGAGATAACACAGCTCAAAAATAAAATACGACACAGTTGGTTGGTTTTTACCGCTCTTGAAGGATCCATGTGCCTCCCCCCTCCCCCCAATTCTATGAATGAATGTAGGTGAACAATGCGTCGATCAACAAGACTTTCAATATAACACAGTGTCACCCACAGACCTAGTTAGGGATTTCTGAACCACATATGATCTTCCTTCCCATTGACTACGAGAACTTGAAGAAGAGCCCAGCAACCAAACGTCCACACACTCACTCTATAGGAAACTCACCTCCTCAGCAATGGCGGTCATCCAAAGCTTCAAGCAGTTGATTGTAGCAGCAGCAATGAGTGTTGTTTCGAACCACCCCCTGCCGGGCGAAATGGGCCAAAGATCTGGCTGGCCTGTCAGAAACGTAGGGCTCCTAAGTAGAACTTTCCTAAAGTCGACATTGGCTTCGAGCAACACCGTAGCGCTGTCAAGCTGGTACGGGACCTTATCCCTATAGCTCATCATCGTCACTTGACAATGATAATTAGAAGAAGTATTTGCTTTTGCTTGACCGGAGAGGTTCAACAACTATAATATAGGTAACTTCATCGGGGCATAGTATTTCTTGAAGAGAAGTAGGAAGATAGTGGAGAGCCAGTATAAGCGACGCTTGATCTTGCTCCATTCTCGCGCCTTGAAGGAGTGTCAAGTGATTCAATCGTCACTGGATTAGTAGGAAGGATGCCACTCATTCTGCAAGGTTTTGAACATTGTCTACACCCTTTGATCATCCTTCGTGATATTTCTTTGAGAAACTCAAATTTATCTATTCCTCCCAAACGTCAAATTCCCACCGTGTACCCTATTGTTCGCAAAGCAATAAAAGAATAGCGTAATTGCATCGCTGAAACATCCGCAATAGCGTCGTAGATATCATCATGTACAAACCTTGAGTAGAGGGGGTATATTTTGCGCAAACGCTGAAATGCAATAACTTATTCTTCCTTGACGATCAATCCATCGGATATCTTGGATCTTTGAGCAAATTCGCTGTTGATTTTAGTGACATGAATGTATGAATGGGTAGGAATAACATACGTCCAACTTCCATCATATACTTTCCTGACACCTGATTCTCCATATGCTTCTGCCAATGCAGCATCAATAATTGCAGCTGTAACACCAGTACCACAGCTGCTGACAATAGGCTTTGTCGGATCAACACCCTTGCTCTCAAATACCTTTCTCAATTGGTCCGCGGGTAACAAAGTCTTGGTGGTTGGATCCAACAACACTCCAATGGGCACACTAATACTACCCTTTATATGACCACTTGTCAATCCAGCTCTAGGCTCTGGATCCTTTCCTGCCCACCTCCCATAACTCCTCGCATCCAATATCTGTACACCTTCCGCTCCCTCTTTACCAGTATCCTTGATGATTTCACAAATCTCCTCAAAATCCGCAACTTTACCTTCATCGAATTGTGGAATTGGATATGCGCAAGCATCGACATCCCAGAATTCCCCGCTCTCAGTTGGATAGCCCTCTTCCACCCATAATTTGAAATTGTTCAAAACATGTACGCTGGGATGTCCAAAAACCTTCAAGGTCCATCCTACCCTGGGCGCGCTGAATAGACCTTGCTCGTGAGAATCATACACGACGACCGTATCATCTCTGCGAATTCCCAATGCGCTCATGGCAGATGCAAAGGTTTGGGCATCAGGAAGCATGTGAGGATATGGAGAGCGCTTGTCGCATACTTTATCGAGATCGAAGAAGCGACTGGAAGAGATTCGCTTTTCGCGGAAGGTTTCAAGACCATTGAGCGGGGAGGTAGGGAGAAACCATGTTGAACAGAGAGAGACGGTGCGGGGAGATGTGGAGATCTTGGAGGGGGGATTCTTTTTGAGAGCTTCCGAGAGCTCGGAGGGGGTGACGAGGTACGATGAGAAGGATCGATGGGATGCCATGGTACCGGTGATGTATTTGGAGAGTGTGGCAGTGAGAGGTTGTCGTGAGAAAGAGCTCAGCGTGGGAGCTCTTCGATAGAGAATAGATGCTGCCATTGCGACAGATATGATGATACCGTTGTTAAATCTAAATCTAAATCAGTGGGTGTTTGAGCTTTGGGCTTAAGAATTGGGAGGAAGGATCTCGCTTATCTTTCCTGATCGGTATAAATTTCCTATTCCGGAGTGTGACGGCAGAGCTCTCTTGCCACCACTGGTGCTTCGTATACCACCTACCTGTACAGAGTATAGACAGCACGAAAAACAGGATTAGAGCCAAGATCTAGGATTATTGTTGATTATTATAGCTCTAACGCTTATAGTTATTTCTTTTCGTATGTAAACATCAAACTTTGATTCCAATATATAAACTATAAACCTAACTAGTTACGAGGTGGCGACAGTGAGGTACCGACAGTACGGTAGGTGGCAAAGTCGGGCTACGATAATGTGGCAATAAAGAGCCACAAGCACGGGCCACATTGTGTTAGCGGACAACCCACTTTAATAACGGACGGGTAAAGTTTGCGGTACTGTAAAGGTGAAGTAGTAGAAATATAACTAATTACGACATCGACATCATCTCCAACTGCTTCCATCTTTCAACAACAGTCGACTGAATATCCCTCCAGAAATGAAAGTCAAGATCAGAACATGGCATGCCGTCGCAACTTGGAGGTGGGATCTGGATGAGGATGATGTTTGTGGCATTTGCCAGGTACATTTCGATGGAACATGTCCTACCTGCAAATATCCTGGCGATGATTGCAGTTTGTGTACGCTCTTCGATTCCTCATATCTTCGCCATGATTAATCATAGATGAGAATAGTATCAGGGAAATGCGGGCACAACTTCCACATGGTTCGTTTTGACATGGATCCAGAATGACGAGATGGAGGGGATGTTGACAGAAGTCCAGCATTGCATAGTAGAGTGGATCAAGCAAGACTCTTCCAAAGGGCAATGTCCTATGTGCAGACAGAGTAAGATGGTTTGGAGGCTCGGGGAATCAATGCGAAAGATATTAATGGTTTGCGCAGAGTTCGAATGGACCGACAATGCGACGGCTCAACCTTCATGAACAAACCGACGTACGGATACAGCGTACACCACATTCGAAAATAAAGAATCATAGATGGATGTATGGTTATGGCGTGTGCAGTGGGAACAGCAAAATTTGGGCAGGCGTTGGGCGATATTTGATACCCTTGGGATACGTACAGAATGCATGGCTTTTTCAGGTGGCAATGTGCAGAGTCTCACATTGGAAGTGACTACACGCAATTGGTATATTGATTACACTCGAATTCCTACTTTCTATGCTTTCACAATGGCTTTTCCAATCAAACACCCAACTCCCATTCATTGCTACACCTTTTTCTCGAAATGATGACGCTGAACCACATCTCCGCACCCCAAGCTTGGGTTAAGCTTCAATGATACATTATAAGATCAGAAACAACGGTTCCTGACACATACGACCATAGACTGAGGAGAATTGGGCATCCCGTCCGCTCTGCCATACACAAGCCTCAGATCGGTAGATTAGTAGTTGGCTGGGTGACCACCAGCGAATCCCTACTGTTGTATGTTTTTTTTCTTTTTTGTTTCTTTTTTGATTTTCACTCTTTTGATCCCGTCTTGGAGTTTTTGATTATTGGTAGTTTGAGCTGGTTAGCACGTCGGATTCTGATTCCGGAGATATTGGTTCGATTCCTCTCAGAAGGTCTTCCAGACCTCGTTTGAACCTAGGATATCAGGGGTGTATAGGAGTATGCTACACGCAACCTTCTTGCCTTGCCAGTGATCTAGACTCTCGTATATCAAAATAGACGGATAGCAGTGCGGGGTAGCTTATACGCTTTCTTATGTATATCCAGTGATATGTGCAGATCAAATGCATGCAAGATGATGTAAGCAAGTGATTGTACTCTATATCGTCACATTATATCACCCAAGTTCAGGAATATTCACAAGTCACCATGTATCCCTTGCGCTTTCACTTGATGTTCTCCTTGTTTTTTCCAGCAGCATGGCGTACATTGGCCTCTCCAATCTATCAATATCATCATGGTTCTCAAGCCACTGAGGCATTTGCTTCAAGAAGCTATTTTTATGTTGGCGGTGAATACATTACCATCTCATCCAACAACACTTTATTTGTTAATCAGATGTATGTGGAACATCTTGTCCCAAGTCGTGTTGAACAGCCATATCCCATTGTTTTCATCCATGGCCAGGGGATGACCGGTACAGTACGTACCCTCCTTTCATCTACGCTAAGCCACGTTCTCCAATCTCATGCCTATCTACCAAAATCTAAATTAAAACAGAATTGGCTCAACAAACCCGATGCATCACCAGGATGGGCAACCTATTTCATATCCCATGGCTACGAAATATATATCCTGGACCAAACGGCGAGAGGTAGAAGCGCCTGGAATCCAAGTGGTAATACAACTGTACAAACTTATCCGGCGGAGAGAATCATGCAGCGATTTACGGCGACGGAAAGGTATGGGTTATGGCCTCAAGCGGCGCTGCACACTCAGTGGCCTGGTGTATGTTTGTGTCAATTGTATTTCCCTTTCCTATCCTAAGCGAACATTGGGTGCTCGCCAAAATCCGGAAGACTCTAACCTCGTCGACTTGACACAACAGAATGGGTCAATAGGTGATCCCATCTTCGACGCCTTCTACGCCTCAATTGTTCAATTCCAATCCAACACCATCACACAAGAAACTAACATGCAAACGGCCGGAGCCGCACTTCTCAACAAAATAGGTCCCGCCGTTCTACTAAGTCATTCTCAAGGTGGTCTCATGCCGTGGGTTATTGCAGATAAAGTTCCAGAGTTGGTCAAAGCTATCGTTTCGATTGAACCGACTGGTCCACCGTTCCAAGATGTGTTTTTCCCGCCCACAACACCTGCAGCGTTTACGAGAGCTCATGGGATCACGGATATTCCGTTACAGTATGAACCGGGATTGCGGGTTGGGGAGGTGGTAGAGAAAGTGCTGGTTAAGAATCAAGGGGCGGGAGAGGGAGAGTTGGAGGAATGCTGGATGCAAATCGAGCCGGCGAGACAGCTGAGCAATTTGAGGGGGATCAAGGTGCTTGTGGAGACGGGGGAGGCGAGTTATCATCGCGTTTATGATGGGTGTACGGTGGAGTATCTGAGGCAGGCTGGGGTGTGGGTGGAGTGGATGAAGTTGGGGGAGGGCAGGGAGAAGAGGTTGAGTGGGAATGGACATATGCAATTTCTAGAGGAGAATAGTGATGAGATTGCTGGGGTTTTGGAGGGGTGGATTCGAAGTGCGGTGAGGGGGGAAGATGTTTAATGGGAGGGGGAGGGGATTAACATGAGGAGATTGTGGGATGTTGGGTGATTGAATGGAGAGAAGGGAAAATACGTCAAAATGGACATGCAGCTTTTGGAGAGAATGGTAGGATAGATAGGAATCTGCAAGGGTGGGAATGGAAATAATTGAGGCGAATCTTGGGGTGTATCTCCTTCGAGACAGAGGCTTTCAAGAATCTGTCCGGACTGTGTAGACTCCTTCCTTCGAAAAGCCCTTGTCATCACCAATCCAAAATGTATCAGGAATGTATTGATCCAGGTTCTTGTCAAGTCAAGTCAAATATACCTACCGTGTTCTTCTGTTGAAGTTCATCTAGGATCCTACAAGTTAGCTACATATCTATCTAGCATGATAGCTAGCGTACCTACCTATGATAGGATCACCACTGGGAACGTGCCATGATCTTCATTCATCCATCTCACCTCACCTCACCTCACCGCCTTGACCTTGCCGCCAACCCAGCATGCATGCCCCCCGTCCCCCGAAAGGTTTACTCTACATCAACCCATCCGATCTCCAACCCACCAAAGTATCAACATCAAGGGCACATCCATCATATCACATCGAAAGGACTACGCCCCATACATAAATAATAGATAGATATTCCTCGCTTGTTCCCATCTCTTCCCTCTTCCCAGCCAGGGCTGGACCGAGGTTTTTTCTTCTTTGCATCAGATCGGTTGGCGGGCTCCTTTTTATCCATCCAATAACAATCAATAAAATAAGCCTTCCTCTTTCTTACTGAATTGAATGAATGAATTAACCTTCTCAGCCATTATTCCTCCAAGTGGTAAAATAAAACAAAGTAAACTTCTTCTTTCCACCTTCTCGAACCCATCAAAACTCAAAAATACGACAGACGCCCCATGGCCATCAACCAAAAAAACGCCACAAGTACAGAGGATGAAATCTTTTCTTTTCCTATTAGGGTCTCAATTTCCCACTCCTTTCCCTAGGGATTGTCTCATCATTCATTATTATTACTAAGCTCTCGCCGAAGTTGGTATGTCGGATCACTCACTCACTCACTCACTGACTGGGTTGAATGAGTTGCATGCATGCATGTATATGGAAAATGGGATGGGATGGGAAAACCAACCCCATGTTTATCCACCCGTACCCTCAGGTCTTCCTTACCCCATATATATATAATCAATCCATTCCATAAGCAGATTGCATCGTATATCTAAGATATATCCAGATTCAGCGTTCAGGGTTCAGCCTTTACCAAGCGAATCTTCTTGGCCACTACATGCTCAATCTCAATCCATCTCATATCATAGCGCTCTCTCTCGGTTGCACTGCGTGGATATCGAGTTAACGTGCCGGCCTGCCTGCTTGCCTGCCTTTTATAGGTTTCAAACTGGGTGTCGTCTTCTTGTCTTGTCTTGTCTTGTCTTATCCTGTCTTGACGAGGTGAGACGAGATATCCCATTTGGATTAGATCTTCAATGGGAAAATGCCGTCCGTCCATCGTCAAAGTTAACTACAAAGTTAACTAACTGTCTTTTCTACCTACCTCCTTGGATTCGGCAGAGGCGTTGTGATTCAATCTGGTTTACCAAGCTATATCATTGCAATTGGCTTCATACATATAGGGTTAAGCGCCATAGTATTTAGAATAAAATAATTAATACTTACTCTGTATTATCAAGCTAACTTGAAAGCAGGTTCAAGATTTGATTTCTTAAACTACTAATTCACAAATATAGTTAGAATTCAAGTCTATTTTTCAGATTATACTTCTTCAAAAAGGGTTTAAAATCGGGGTTTCTAGAAAAGAGGTTTTAGAGAGATTGTTTTTTTTTGGGATTTTTTTTGTTTGTGAAAAGTTATTTTGGATATATATAATAAACTATATATACTATACTCTGTAAGTGGAAATGAATCTAATCTAATCTAAGATGTGAAAATTACATGGTTAGAATTTACTTTTTATTTAGGCATTCAGGTTACGACTAAGAAATATAAAGAATTAGATTAGGCGTTAACTAATATTCTTAACCCCCTGGCCCCCCCCGCTGTTGTACGCACATCTTGTATATTCTACATTTTGATTAGTCGACTTACGGAGTACGATTACTTTCGTATAGTGAAACCCACAATTCCAACTTTTGGGTTTGGGTGGGAGAAGAAGGGAGGGAAGTCAGAACTTAATCTTGAAGAAGGTTGGTTCTGCGTCGGGAAAATCATCGACGGGGTCTTGTGACTTGTTTGTATATTGGATTATTTAGATATTTATATTATTCTTTCAAACAAAGGTTTAATATTTGGTATACTTTACGTATCTTATCTGTTTAATTAGAATATTTTATGGTCATTAACTAACTACTCATCTAATCCATTCATTTATTCATACTCTGGAATAATTGCATACTTATCGCTTGAGAAGAAGAAGATTAAGCTTAAACCTAATTCCGTTTGGTTTAGCTCTTTCGTCTAAATGATAGATAGATAGGTAGCCAGCTAGCTAGTTTTGCCTAATTATATAAAATCATAAGTTTTACCTTTTATGAAGATCATGCCTAAACGAGAGAGAAGAGCTGCTAGCTACAGTACTTGGAGATATGTAGGTAGCTTGACCACCGGGGAGATTAGTAATTAGTAAACTACTTACATGTACTACTTACTCGTTCGTATCTTCTTTTCTTCAGCTCGTCCAGGTTCTTGATTGACGTTTCTCCATTTCTCCTCTTTTTTGCTCCATCTCTCTGATTGGCTCTCGCGTCGTGAATCGCAACGCCTTACTAGTTACGTTAGTTAGTACACGAGGCTTAATGAAGGGTCCCTCGCTGTAAAAACAAACTACCTTGGCAAAATTAAACTTCCGTCTTCAAGATTCACCGAGGCTCAACCTTCATCGGCGGCGCTTCATGCCATGATTGCTTATTCACAATTAATCCTCATTATTACAGATGGATGCGTTTGTTGCACATCATGAAATTTACAGTTTACAGTCCACAAGCTAATTCAGATTTACCTCGGCAAAAGTTTCGGGACTGACTGACTGACCCCCCCCAATCATGAAGCCTTCTTGATGGTCTTTGTTGCTCGTCTTAAAATTACACTTTTGGTTTGTATCCCTTGAATAGCTAGCTAGCTGTCTGTGGTAGTCCTCATCTATTCAGAACTATCAAGTAACTACACTATTTTATGCATGGTGACATACTATTTCCCATACATCCAGCATCGTGAAAGATAAATTTGTCGCTTATCTCAGAATTTTCCATCTCCGCCAGAGTCAGAAAGAACATTGCTCCAAGTCATTACATTACCTACCTATCTTGCTTCCCACCATATCCCCGAATTTCCATGCATTCGAACTGAAAAGACAATCCTCCTCGTTCTGATCTGGCGTTATTC